TGGTTTTGTGTCAATTTCATAGTTTATTTTTGGAGTTTTTTTTATTAACTTTTCATTGTGAAACTGGGAACGTATTCGATACAGGCGGGGTCAGAATATGGTTTCGAATCCTATCGGTTTATAACATTCTCCGAAACTGTTATTTAATTTTTTTATAAGATTTTTCTTTTCGAATAAAGTTTTGATCAATTTAGAGTTAATTCATTTAAAGATTATTAAACTTAATATGAATATTTTGACCTTGACAAAAACTGGCATTCTTTATTTATGTATTTATACTTTAATCATTATTTTATTAGTATTATAATTAAAATTATAATTAAAATAATTACAATACTCATAAAACCAATACATTTCACAGTATCAAAAAAATAAAATACCCAAAGGTCCCCATGGCATTTGCGGCATTTCCGCGTTGGATTGCCAGAGATATCCTTTGAGCCAAATACGAACCAGAACGGTGATCATGGCTCCTATCCGCAATGCGCACTCAACTCTTTTATGAAGGATTTTGCTTCCGCTCCCCACACACCCGTAGTCTCAAAAGCAACAGGAACGAAGATATAAGCTGGTTCGAGAAAATACTTCGAATGTTTGATTAACGAGATGGTTTTGTGTCAACCAGCCACACGAGTCGTATCCTTTTCAGATAAAACACAGCAAACGTGCTCACGCAAGTTGCATCCCAAACCAAACAGCGCCCCCTCTTCCAAGGAACCAAACTCCGAACATCAGGCCGTTTCCCATTTATATATTTTATATAATTATTTAATTATTGTATTTATATAATTATTTATATATGTATTAGGTACATATTTAACATATATGGATGGGATTATATATTGCAGTATGATTGGTGATTATATATATTTATATATATTCAATTTGATAAAGGAACTTTCATAATTATACAGTACTATCATACCTACTTGTACAACAAGTAGTCTATTACCCTTACCCTAAGGTTGTCTTGAAAGATTGCTCTCAGCAACAAGACCGCCTTACTGTACTTATACAATTGTATCGTTGTATTTGTAAATTGTCTTGCTTATTTCCTATATTGAACAATGCAAATAAAGTATACTCATTCATTCATATTTTAAGGAATGCTGACTTTATATTACAATGCCCTACTAAGACCCTACGTAGGACTATAAATGTTAACAGCATGGTCGCCCACTTTCATTTAAATTTAAGGTTATTAAATAAAGGTACTGCTCATGTCTATAGGCGACGGTTACCACTTTCCATCAGGTAGACCGTCGCTTGTTTAAAATAATAATTCGCATAAAAAAAATTTAATTAACTACGATGGTTTTCGGAGGGAACCATATGCAAATGGTAAAATAAAAATAAAATAATTAAACCTGATTTGATATATTGTTACCAATAATGTCGATAGCTCATTTTACTAACAATCTACTCGTATTCCAGGTTGCAATGATAGATCGATAACAATTCCAACAGGTATTGTAACTCCTCAGAATCTATAGTCGTTAAATATTTGCTTTTTCCCCTTAACAATTAGTTAAAATTTGGTTTAAACTTTAATTAGTTCGCTGTTAAACACAACTTGCTTCATTTTACTATACAATCAACACTGTGGATTCATAAGTGACAATTTATTTATTTAATTATTTTAATCTAACCTGACCATAGATAGGGGAAAGGGATTGTTAGTAATGAGATTTAACAACCTCATTGTTAACAATACACCGTATCAGGTCGACCTCCACGCGGTTTCCCCTGGAATCCTATGGTTAAATCTTGTTCAATTGATTACTATGGGCCAACTGACCTGCCGTCATCCTCACCTGTCACCCTTCATTGGTACCCCGCCAGCGTATACCGAAAGCGCAGGCCATTATACCATCTTCAGCTAATAAAAAAAAACCTGACCATAGAAGGAAATTAAAATAGAAACAGCATATATGGATGAATTAATGCAGAAATCACTCATTCGTACGAATCAACACCTCCAGAATCGAACTGGGAAATTTGAATACATTAGTTTTGGGTTCGTTACGCTAATGGACGCGGGCTTGAGAGGATAGTAGAGAATGGAGGAGGCATGGAGGGTGGGGAGGGGCGGGGTACGATGGTAAAGTTGTGGTCTGATCATGAACGATCATATACATATGAAGACTATATACTCTCGACTGATAGAACTTTGTTGAAAGATGTTTAGTTTTGCGTTTACATTACGTCGTATAGTAAAATATATCGTCTTTGATCATGTTTATGTAATTGTAGAAAGGTTCTTGAGTAGCGATTCCGTATGGGCAAACGCAGTATAGAACAACCCCCCACTCGATGGAGTGACGACCTTAAATGGATTGCAGAGAGTCAGTGAATGCAGGAGGCTCGGGACTGTTCCTTATGGCAGTCTATGGGGGGAGTCCTATGTCTAGCAGTGGAATTATGGTTGAAATGATGATGAAAATGATGTAATTTAAGACAATCTAACATACACTCTTTTAGGGAGAAGGATTGTTAAAGCGACGAAGAGTTGCCAGTTCACTTACCAAGCGTGACAACTACTGGAAAAATCTCCCTTATATAGGAGGCCTATGATCAGCAACGGACAGTTAACGGCTGATATGATGATGATGATGACTGTTACAGCGATGACAAATAGCCTCATTGCCAGGAATATCAGGTCAGGTCGATCTTCACGCTGTCATACTTAAACGTGCATACATGGTTTTCCTTTAATTTAGTAGGCGAGCTGACGGCTCACCTGATGGAAAGTGATTACCTTCGCCTTACATTCGAAACATAAAAGTAGTTGCTAGTGCTTTACTAACTTTTAAAAAGTATGTTATTCTGTTTTTTTTTTTTAAAGTCTCATATTGAGCACATGGATAAAGACTCAGAAAAGAGCTTTCACTCCTTACATGCTCGAGCAAGAAGCAAACGCCCAAAAATTGTGGATGATCTTTACGGATGTCTCTTTAGCGATGCAATGATAAAAATAGAATAGAAACATTTTATTGCGGAACTATTAAACGGAATAAAAAAATCTATATTTTTGGAATCATGAAAATAATAGGAAGTCTGCTGACTCTATTGGTATACGTTGTTAGTGGATGATAAGTGAAGACGAGAACTGGTCAAGTCATTGCATCCATTGTATTGAATTCATCTGGAATTAACTGCACTGGTTTCCGGAGGAGACCTTGTGGAAAAGGACCTGATATATTGCTAGCAATAATGGCGATAGTACATTTTACCAACATACCATGGGATGTGGCGTGAATTTACAGGGTACAGAGGATGGGGGCATCATGGGCATGGGGGGTATCATGGGTGAAACAGTATACTCTGTTATGTCCATGCTACTGTTCATGTCTATAGGCGACGGTTACCACATCAGGTGGGCCGTCAGCTTGTTTGCCATTTTAAGTTGTATAAAAAAAAAACTTTTCCCCCAAGCTGCGATGTTAAAATGATGATAATCCCATCAGGTATTGTAACTCCTCAGAACCTATACCCGTTAAATATTTGCATTTTCCCCTTAACAATTAGTTAAAATCAGGTTTAAACTTTAAATGAGTTCGCTGATAAACACAACCTACTTCGTCTTTATGGTATAAAATCAACACTGTGAACTCACAAGTGGCTTGTTTCAGACGTTAACGGCTGCATCGTCGAGTATGTGGGTGTAATTTGTCATTGTAAACCATTAGATCGAGTCTGGAATTGTAGGCAATTAATTTTAGGCTAAAATACCTATAGACTAGACTAAGAGTTTTGGTTAATTACAGAGTACGGTTAGTCAATTAGAATTATTTAGTTAAATTCCGCTGCCTAATGTATGAGCATACTTAAGTATGCGTTTCACTGCCAAGATTTGAAAATTGGCAATTTTTATTAAGAGTAGAAATTCTGCAATTATCCTTATTAGTTATCAACCTCCAACCATTATTCAGTCCACGCACATGTTGCGACATGTGTTTCACCTCTAAACGAGGCAACTTCAGGCAAATCAATAGATTGCAGCTCGGAGTTTAGTGTTGACTATTCGGGGTCCAGATTGGCCAAGAAGCGGCTAAACAAAACAATTGTAATCGATTAACCAGTGATTTGGACTTACAAACTTTGGACTTACTTATGGACCGTAAAATAAAATCTAGTTCAGTGAAAAAGTACGGGTGTATTCTAGATGTAAATAAAATGATGAAATAAAAAGAACTTTAGTTTAAATAGATATAATAGATGAACTGCCTAATAGCTTCAATTAAACTGTAACTTATATATTTGACTAAAACTAATTTTGGACGCCAGGAGAGTTTTTATATTGCTTGCGAAACTCTTCCAAAATCAAACCACGGTCAGGGATATTTAATGTGTAACTTCAGGATTCAATCAATGGCGTTTCCTTAGGCTACAACAATGAAGATACATCGTTATTAACTGTAATATCATGTGTACCGGAGTCACCAGAGGGAGACTTTGTACAAAAGTCGTTTGCTTAGGCACCTCTGTCCCATTCGTGTCTCTACCGTGAAGCAGTTGTGTTTGCATGGCTGTGTTTCAGTTTGAAGGGTGGGATATGGTAGTGAATTTACAGAGTACAGAGGAATAATACCTGAGTTCTCAGGAATGACAACGCATGGGGGGTATTATGGGCGTATAATCTAAAGAACTACTTTCTGCCAGTTGTTCAACGGACACGATTAGACAAAGCGGGGGAGAAGGGATTGTTAGTAATGGGGATTAGCAACCCTATCAGGTCGACCTCGCGGTTCCCCTTGGAAACCATCGTGATTGGTTCATTGTCGAATTTGTCACGATGGGCTAACTGACCTGCTTCGTCTTCACTTATCACCTCTCACTGGTGCCCCGCCATTGTATACTGATAGCGTAGGCGGGGTTACAATTCTATTATCATCGATTATTATAAAAATAAAAACATCCATTAATATAAAAAAAAACAACATTGTCAACAATATTACACCTATTTTGTATAATTCATAATATTCTATTGTTTGTTCCAGAAATATGTAAGCGAACTAACAATCGTGAGGGACTGTGTACCGACGTGCAGCGAAAAAGGTGGGTGTTGTTTTACCTTAGCCAGAGCCTAAGCAAACCGTTTACCTTCAAACTGTAGTTTAGTAAATTGAGGTTTAGTGAAATTATTAAGGTGCCTAGTAACAAATAAACTCACTTCAATATTTACAATATTAGTTTAAATTTACTTAAACTTTTCAGTTGACTTTAAAAGGAAGAAAGTTCTCGAGTCGGTTGTATTTTTTTTAAATATTTGTTGTTACCTAATAATTCCATCTTTTATCTGAAAGTAAATCCTTACAGGTTGGTCTCATAGAGATTTTATCAAAACTGATTTAGTAATTTAGTTTTTAAATCAATACATACATACATACATAGATACATATCTGTCACGCCTGTCTCTCATCAGGGTAGGCAGAAACAATAGAACGCTAAATGCTTCGACCCTGACGAAACCTCTTTACTCCCCTTTTGAAGAACCCCATGCTGTAGTTTCTTGGGAAAACATCGGCAGGGAGCTCATTCCATAATCTGAGTGGTTCGTGAGAGAAAACATCTCTGAAACCGCGTTGTACGCGACCATTTAGGCTGTAAGGTATTACGGTGAACTATCGATGGTGAGCCGTAAGAATTACTAATAATCCTTTCTCCCCGAGTTAACATATTTAGTAAACATATAAATAAAAAAACAAAACTAAATAACATAGGATATGGAAACAATAAACTAATACTACCCATAGATATCTGCTTACGTAATATGGAATATCTATGCCAACACATTTGCCCTCCCGCTACGTGTTCCTGCTTTGCTAAATTACGACCAGTTACAATAGACACATAAATATCAGATTGTTTTATCACAAGACGGGTCTTTGTAAGTGGTCGTTAACACCAACCAAGCGTGACTCACTTTAATTTGGAGTTAAGAATAAATTACGGGTCTAAGTAGCTGGTGGCTGACTGACACGTTCTCGACATAATTGCAAACCTTGAGAAATATTAAAGGGCGCGAACTATTTCTTTCCTAAGACAGCCTATGAATAAAAGCCGATTTGAGACAGTATGCACCTAATGTATTTGTAACTAAAAGGACATAGCGAGTAATCAAAAAACCAACATGATATCGAAGATATCTTAGGAGAGATTTTGCCTCACTTTGCGTATTCTACCGTTTGTACAATGGATTGTGCTTAAAGGAATTGTTTAATATGAAGCCCACGGCCACTTTCTATCATCGTACGGCTCGCAATCGACAGGGAGTTCACCCTCATACCCCACAGCCTAAATGGTCGCGTACAACGCGGTTTCAGAGATGTTTTCTCCCACGAACACTCAGGTTATGTTATGAGCTCCCTGGCGAGGTTTTCTCCAAGAGACTACAGCATGTGGTTCTTCAAAAGGGGGGTAAAGAGGTTTCTCTCAAGGTCAGCAACACGCGCGTAATACCTCTAGTATTGTAGGCGTTCATAGGCTACGGTAACCGCTTACCATCAGGTGAGCTGTATGCTGGATTGCTACCTCAGTGGTATAAAAAAAATCATTCCGGTTAATTTAAATTTAAGGAATATTTTAATTAATTGATTCAGTCAAATATATATGAATTATACAGCTATTACTTTTTATATAAAAATTTTATTATATAATATTATATAATTTATAAATACTTGATTTTATTTGTCTATACGACTGTGTATTTGTATGTTTGTTCTGGTATTACACAAAAACTAGAAGCGGTTTTCATAGTCTCTAAAGGTCTAACCATAAGTCGAACTTAATAACTGGGGTGTTTTTTTTTAATGGGAGATGATAGAATGGTAACTCCGCTCGCGCTATCGGTATACTTTGGCGGGACACCAGTGAAGGATGATATATGAGAATGAAGCAGGTCAGTTAGCTCATCGTGACGAATTCAACAAGAATTATTCACGATGGTTTCAGGGGGAACCATGTGGAGGTCGACCTGATAGGCTGTATTGCTAGCAATGAGTTTCTTATATTTATTAAAGCCATTACTAATAATCCCTTTCCCCCCTAACTGGGGTGTTATATCTTGATATGTTACCTAGAAATGTTATTTCATAAATTTTCCTATTTTTTAAATCTAGTTTAATAAAAGTGTAAATGTAAAAAAAAAGCTAGTTTTAAAAAAATATTTACGTAATATCATTGATTTGATTTATAAATATAAATCTGTAAGGCAAATAAGGCATTGCAGTTTGTTTAAGAAGATGGTCACGACATGCGTTTGTGACAGATTGTGTCATGATGTAAAGCAACCTAAAATTTCTGTAGTCTATTCAAATAATCAAGTTTTATTGAAATTTTTTATTTTTAATTATTTTTTTTATACAACTTAGTAACCGTCGCCTATAGACATGAGCAGTACTAAGGACTATCTTATGGTAACCGTTTATGCAAGCAATCTAAAAAAAAAATAAAAAAAATATACTAATCGTTGAATTACTTGTTAGTATTTAGTATTCTACATTTGCAATTTAAAGAGACAGCACTATGCAGTAAAACATTTTATGTGCAGGTACTTAACTATAGTTAACATCAGCTACCGTAACCAGCTACACAGTTTCTCATCTGTTGACAGCAGTTAAAGTGAATAGGGTGGTAGTTTAACAGTTTATTAGGTGATTTTGTTTTAACAATGAAACAGTAACCTGTTCAAATGAACAGGTTAAAAGAATATGTGGGAAGTTTATAATTGAGCAATAAACTTTGTATGTACGTTACGCGCTACCTTTGCTTATTTAGTCCGCTCCTATGTTGGTTCCATTGTTGTATCAGCTCTTAATTGCCCACTGCTGAACTTGCTTGGGTACCTCTGTCCCATTCGTGTTTCAACCGTGAAGCAGTTGTGTTTGCATGGCTGTGTTTCGGTTTGAAGGGTGGGATATGGCGTGAATTTACTGGGTACAGAGGAATAACACCTGAGTTCTCGGGAATGGCAACGCATGGGAGGTATCATGGGCGAAACAGTATACTCTGTTATGTCCATGGTACTGCTCATGTCTATAGGCGACGGTTACCACTTTCTATCAGGTAGGCCGTCAGCTTGTTTTCCATTCTAAGTTGTATAAAAAAAAATAGTTGCCACCCTTGGTTGGCGGTTTAACAAACGCAATTTGACTTTTGGTGATTTTTAAGCGGGACACTGCTACTCATCCCTCCACCATAAGCTTCCTTAGTCGCCTCTTACGACACCCACGGGAAAGGAAGGGCTGGCCTATCCTATGCCGGGACCTACATGGCCTATTGGTTGTACTTACTTTAATTATAACTGTAGCAAACTCCTTGCTACATTTTTATATTCTTATTGTCATTCGAAATTTATATATTTTTTTGACATATTGTTTTTACATTCAAATGCATTTTTGCTAATGTCTGTCTCCTCATCTTTTCTGTAGTTTTCCATTCTAAAATCCTATCATTGCATATTAACACTAAACCTACCAAGTGCGGTCAAATGACCATTTTTGAAATTTAGTTTAAAATTGTTATGTATAACGTCACTGTATCACCATGTAACTTATTGAGTTTTCCTATAATATACATACAACCCATTTTTCAATATTCACAACTTACTATAATTTACTTGTTTACTAATACAATGGGCTAAAATCTCTTTCCATATTAAGATACATACTTTATTTTAAAGCGGTCATTTGATCGCTTATGGTAGGATTAGGTATTATGAAATGTCGGCAGGTTTAGTGTTAAAAGCATTATCTCCGTTTCAGTGACTATCGAAAATTGGTAATTTTTACTAAATAGACAACACTCTTGATCATTCATAAAAACAGAAACTCCAGCGATCGGGCCGACTCGGCTATGTTCGTACCGACTCGGCTATGTTCGTACCGACTCGTACATCAACAACTACTAACGAATGAAATTAGTAGTCGAATGATATTAGTACTCGAACTATATTAGTAATCGGATGACATTTATTTTATTTTATTTTACACTTTATTGCTCCATTTATAGAATAGTAAATACATTTAACTGTAATGCGAAATGATACAAAAGGCGGCCTTATCGCTAAGCAATCTCTTCCAGACAACCTTTGGGTAGAGGACATTAAGAAAGAAAAAAAAAAAAAGGGTAGGTACATTAGTAGTTGAACGATTTTAAAATCATTCGAATAATCGGAATTAATTGTTGAGTCTAATAATTAGTAGTTAGAGTAAAGTCGCGCATCGCTAATTGGCATGCCATCTAGAAATTGTTTATTTCCTTTATCCAAAATCAACGAATACTTAGTCGAGTGCAAAAGTGTTTTTAAAAGTTTAATATTTAATATAACGTTTTATATTGTAATTCAAAAATTACAAATATGTTTAAAATTAAAGTCACGACCAAAGTTGTTGCTTTTTCACGCAGCGAAATCTGTAATTTTATTCAGTAATACCAAAAAAAAAAAAGAGGGCGCATAGGGAAATGGGAAATGTGATTAAAATAAAATAAACAGGAGTTAACAACGCGCACTCGATTAGCATAAACCGTAAAGCGGCGATTAACTTCCGATTGGTTGTGTTTCGCCACATTATAATATTTGATTTTTAATGTGGAGTTTTCGCGAATTAAAATATTACTCGTATTCAAATTAACTGAACATAAGCCTTCTCCATATGGGGAGTTTTGCCAGTAGTTGCCACGCTTGACAGGCGGGTTGGCGACCGCAGTTACGCTTTTGTAGACATTTTATTATTTATTATGTATTTTTATTTAAATTATTATTATTTTATTAAATTTAAATATTTTATATTTATTATGTATTTTTTCCATTGTTCTCATTAAAATATTTTTATTAATTTTCTTTTTTGTTTATAAACACGGGAACAATTTTGAATTTTTACGTGTCTTTAATGTAAATTCTAAACTCAGTTCGTTTTTCTTCCTCGAAATTGCTTGAAAAAATATAAAGTCCTTTATTTCGTTGGCAACACTCGATTCTTTAGAGAAATTAACATGGATTTGTCTAAAGCTCGACTGATAAGGGTACGTCTGTACGTATGAAATAAATTACGAGA